ATGTATTAGGAATGTGACAGTTATGTATTAGAAATGGGACAATTATGTATTAGGAATGGGACAGTTATGTATTAGGAATGTGACAGTTATGTATTAGGAATGGGACAGTTATGTATTAGGAATGTGACAGTTATGTATTAGGAATGTGACGGTTATGTATGAGTAATGGGACAGTTATGTATTAGGAATGAGATAGTTATGTATTAGGAATGGGACAGTTATGTATTGGGAATGGGACAGTTATGTATTAGGAATGGGATAGTTATGTATTAGAAATGGGACAGTTATGTATTAGGAATGTGACAGTTATGTATTAGAAATGGGACAGTTATGTATTAGGAATGTGACAGTTATGTATTAGGAATGTGACAGTTATGTATTAGGAATGTGACAGTTATGTATTAGAAATGGGACAGTTATGTATTAGAAATGGGACAGTTATGTATTAGGAATGTGACAGTTATAATAGAAATGTGATATTTATGTATTAGGAATGGGACAGTTATGTATTAGAAATGGGACAATTATGTATTAGGAATGGGACAGTTATATATTAGGAATGGGACAGTTATGTATTAGGAATGGGACAGTCATGTATTAGGAATGTGACAGTTATGTATTAGAAATGGGACAGTTATGTATTAGAAATGGGACAGTTATGTATTAGGAATGGGACAGTTATGTATTAGGAATGGGACAGTTATGTATTAGGAATGTGACAGTTATGTATTAGGAATGAGACAGTTATGTATTAGGAATGTGACAGTTATGTATTAGGAATGTGACAGTTATGTATTAGAAATGGGACAGTTATGTATTAGGAATGTGACAGTTATGTATTAGGAATGTGACAGTCATGTATAGGAATGTGACAGTTATGAATTAGGAATATGACAGTTATCTATTAGGAATGTGACAGTTATGTATTAGGAATGGGACAGTTATATATTAGGAATGGGACAGTTATATTAGAAATGGGACAGTTATGTATTAGAAATGTGACAGTTACATTAGAAATGGGATATTTATGTATTAGGAATGGGACAGTTACGTATTACGAATGGGACAGTTATGTATAAGGAATGGGACAATTACGTCCTATCCATAACAGACACTCTTAATATTAAGAACTATGGACATTATGTATCATTAAACATTTATTTTTCTAACTATCTTAAATATACATTCACTCAACCATGCGATTTAATGAGCTAATATATCGGGTGTATATATAGAATCCTGAACCATAAATAGCAAGAAGGATTTGCAATTTCCCATAATTCAAAGACTCTAAAATGGCAATTCCAAAGAATAGCTTGTCCAGCAAACAGAACAGAATCCCCTATATCAAATTTGCCATTTGCACAAATATCCATTATACCCATTATTTTGGTTTGACTGAAAAATGATGCCATCATTATACATATTTCCCTCTAATATGATGAAAATCCATCAACATGTACAAGTATTTGAGTTAAGATTTGAACCAACAGGCAGACAGAGTGACCAGAGTGGAGGGCTTCACAATGATCCAAATATAAGAACAGCCTCCTCTGACTAAAAGTGTCAAGGAATCATGCTAGCTACCCTCCTTTACAATGCATTAGTTCACAATGATGAAATATATTCGCTCGGCCATGGCACTTTATGAGCCCATGCGTCACAGGTGCAAGAGTCTAAGTATCAGAATAACAATCAGTATATCATGTGTACTGTCCAAGGGGATCAATTTTATTAGGCTGTCTCAGACACTGTCTCTGACCTAACTATTATACCTTAATCTTATTATACTCCTACTCTGAATATAACTTGAGGTTCAGCGTGTGTTCAACGACATTTATTTTTACCAGAAGAATTTAATTGATTCTCACAAGCGCAAAGTTTGTCAAAATGTGATGATACTTTGTCTCAAGCTTTTCAGTCATTTATGGGTACATACGTACTGCCTAATGTGCAACCTTTTACTATTTGAGAAATGTTAGATTTGAAAATTACAAAATCATAATGGAGTTTTATCAGAAATATCTTAAAATGTGGCATGTTTCTAGTAAAATCATTACTATAGAACAATTAATAAAAATAAAATCTATAAAAATTCACCGCATTGATTTTTGTGCATTGAAGAATGATGTTATAAGATTGAACATTTTTTGAAATATCCAAATGCTTAAGTATTCGATTTTATCGGTGTGTACATTAATGTCAATGTTATTTCAGTTAAGAATCAATTACCTTATCATTACATTAACATCTCTCTTCAATGTCATCCTTTCATTGTTCTCTAGGGACATAGTCTCCTTGATAATGAATTAACCTACATATAACCATATTGCTTATATTATAAGCAATTCTAAGAAAGCTAATAACTGGATATAAATGATTAAATGAGCTTGGGTATAATGGATTAAATTAATTTGTTATATATTAACATAGATTGCTCTGATGCCCAGAGGCTTGCAATAATCACATGAAGCTCTCTTTAAGGGTACAAAATCACACTCTTCTAACAGGAAACATCGATGACATACATAAATATAACACTATTTTTTTGAGAAAGTAAATGAGTTAAAAGTGCAGGATGACTTTTTGAACTTTGCAATTCATAAATAACTAGAAAAACAGCAACTCCAAGGAGTAGCAAATCCCACCGAACAAAACGTATTTTGATAATAAGTGGCAATCTTGAAAATTTCTTCTTGAGCAGAGCTTCTTTGTCCCTAAGTAGCAGCATATAAAATTTGACCCAAGTCTTTCAACTGATATTATCACATTTTTAATGACAAATGGCAGCCATTTTTATAAAAATTGGCCATCTTTAAATGACTTCTTGACCAGACCACGATTATCTCTAAGCATCGGCATATAAAATTTGAACCAAATCCATTGACTTGTATTTGATTGATCAAAAATTAAAGATAACATTTTTTATGAAGAATGACGGCCATTTTGAATTTCAGCTGTCATCTTAAAAAATTCCTCCCAACCAGATTTCCTTTGTTCCTAATCATCAGCATATACAATTTGAACCAAATCCATCATCTGATATTTGAGTTATCAAAGATAACGTTTTTTAACAACAAATGGTCGCCATTTTAAAATTCAACAGCCATCTTGAAAATTCCTTCTTGAGCAGAGCTTGTTTGATCCTAAGCATCAACATGTAAAATTTGAACCATATGATTCCACTGGTATTTGAGTTATCAAAGATCAAGTTTTTTTTATGAAAAATGGCGGCCATTTTGAAATTCAGTGGCCATCTTGAAAATGTCTTCTTAAGCCGAGCTTCTTTGTCCCTTGGCATCATCATATAAAATTTCAACCAAACCCGTCAATTGGCATTTGAGTTATCAAAGATTACATTCTTTTAAGAAAAATGGCAGCCATTTTGAAATTTAGGCTTCATCTTGAAAATTCTTTCTTAAACAGATTTTCTTTGTCCTTAGAAATCAGCATATAGAATTTTAATTAAATCCATTCAATGGTATTTCAGTTATCAAAGTTTATGTTTTTATATGAAAAAAGGCAGGGGTCCTATACCCATAAGGCATGAGTCTATAAAATTTGAATCAAAACTGTTGACCGGTATTTGATGAACGAATTAACAGCCAGAGGGAAATGGACAGAAGGACAGAAGTATGAATGGCTTTCCTATATCCCTCACAAACCTCGTTCGGTGGGATAATTAAAATTGATACCCTTTTTGATTCTACAGCTTCACCAAACATACAAAACTATTCTTTGGGAAAAAAAAGTGTAGGATGGATGTTGAAAGTCTTGAACTCTCTGACATAAAACTTCCCTCAATGAAAGCACTCTATTCAAAAGATTCATAATTACTTTGTAACTACTAGTTGACTGTCTTAAGGCTAGAATATGAGATGTTTCCTGAAGTGCCTTTTCCTTCATAAGACAGAGGAAGTAATATAAACCAGATTAAAATTGAATGGAAGTGGTGAACGTAATCCAATGCAAATGTACTATTATATAAGTATAAGCAAATCTGTAAGTCTGTAAAGTTAAAATGTATAAGTTGGATAACACAATATTAAGGAAGCAAACCAAAGTACTTTAACTCCAGGCTAAAATAAATACAAATTCCATGATTGTCACAAATTGATGAGGAGCTTTTTATTTTGTATCTATTTTGCATAGAGTTTCGGAATGAAGAATTATATTCAAGTGTATCAATTATAATTCGCTCGGATATTCATTCAATCCAGGGTTAGATATGTAATCTAAATGTCACATATCTGAACCCTGGAGAGTGCATTTACTCAAAATGACCATGGGCAACAATATTGGTATGCTCCCCGGACCATGTGTTTTACTTCGACTGACATTGGAAACAATATTGTTATGCTCCCTCAGTGATATGTTTTACTTTGACTGACATTGGAAACATCGGTTTCAAAATGCACAACTATGAGCAGGTTGAATATGACATTAGGGCAGCATAACATACTTCCATAGACTATCATAGCACAAGATAATTTAATTGTCTGACAATAAATAAAGCGAGAATGTTTGATCAGTTGATACTTTGTAGAATATGATATGGAGAATTGCAAATAGCATCCTGGTAGATGAATGTATTTATCCTGAACTGTACAATGTTTTAGATTATTAAAATGAACCATCAATTAGATTAGCTGCCTGAAAATATACATCGTGAGATTTTTTTTGCATTTTGTTCAGCTTCTGAGCAAATGAGTAATACAAGCACCGGTTATTATACTGCAGTGAGAACTCTGTATCTGTCATGCATGAAATTATAAACAGAAAATAAGTTAAAAAGCTCTAATCCGGTGCAGCATCTATTCTATCAGTAGTGCATTCCTCGTAGCAACTAAAATTTGTTTTTTGTTTTGGGCTAGTCTTTTCAAAAAGCATCAAAAGACCTGCTACTTACTCCTCTTTGACAAATATACGTCAAACCTCATCTCGTTTTTTTTCATTTCTTAAATATTTTGTAATAAGAGTATGAGTAAAAATGCCCTCACCTTCAATGGTTTTCTGCTGGAATGAGGGTGCGTTTCCAGCGAAATATACATGCGGACATTCCTCCAAGATGAAAGGATCCTCATCCAGATATGGGTAGCAACCTGAAAATGGAAAATGGAAAACAACTCATGTACTACACGGTCAAATGTTTGAATTGACAAACTTCCCCCCCCTCCTACTCCTATGACGTTACTTTGAGAAGAGTAAAAACAATTGAGATGGCGCCTAAATGCAATCTTTGTTAATACAGATCTTATAAAGTTCGAAGTTAATGCAACAGAGGAGTAAAGTTTATAGACCCTGAACAATGATATAATGGATCTTGGTCAGATGTATTATCCTGTATTATTGCTAGGTAATTGTTGTTATTTATGACAGTGAGACTAGGGGAATAAATGATGTAATGAGGCATAACAAAAACATAACTCGTCCATAAGATTTTTAAACTGAAGCATAAAATTTCTCTGAATGACATACAATATAATATGTTTTGCTAACATCATTTTTTATAAATCTATTCAATAGGATCATTTTTCAACAGTCAGATAAATCCAAATTTTACTAATTTGATCCAAATATCTCAATATTTCATCCTTATGGTAATAACCCAGATGCAAGTAGGTAGTTACCAGTTTCACCACCAGGTGACTAATTTGGGGCAGATAGCATGGCAGATATGGTAGAAAGTTCCCTTAAACCGAATATTCATCAGTTTTAGTGTTTCAAAATTTCATATTAGCCTCATGCATCTGATAGTTATACCAATTGAAATATGTCAAGAAAAAGAAAATATTATCTGTTCAATAAAATAAAAGATATTTCACTTTTTGTGATTTCATAACATGGGGAATCTCCCCGACCTTGTAGTCACATTTTCAAAGTTCTAATACAAAGTTAAATTTTCAAAGTTGATAAACACTTTTTAAAACCAAATTTCTAGATGTAGTTTACATGTAGATTTCAAATATGATATCACTTTGACTAAATTTTGAATATTGAATGATGTTAATCAAGATTATCTTAACTTGCACCTGGTCTGTTGGCTGTATTACTGTCTTTGTACTATTATCATTATATTCAGTTATGCATAACAATGTGCGTAAATATGTGACAAGCTTCAGGTTGGATAAGCCGATGATTAATAAGGAAAAACTTGATATGTCACCTGACAATACAAATTCTGAAATCCATGTACTTAGATCGATGTTGTTTGTCTCCTGTTGATCCATTCCTTTCAAGCAAGAACAAGGAATTAAATATACAATTTGCATGACCAACTTGCACACTTCTAGGATGGCAAAACGTACACAGATTTCCCTTCTACTGGATCTAAGTAGTTGGGTTAAAACGATTAAATGTTTTGGATCAAGATGATTTCCAATGATAAAATACATTGTACTATGTCTATGTGTGTTCATTGATGACTTTCATTACTGTCAAGAGAGGGCGAAAGTTGATATTATTGTATGTACTATTGTGGAAATCTCTGTTCTGCAGCAATATGAAACAAACAGCATATGTCTCATCCAAAATGGTAGACATAATTCCGTCTGCCATTTTGGATGAGACTAACTGCAGTTTGGTTTACCCAGCTTTTAACTGGAATAAATATTTCTTCAGAAATATAAATATAGTTCAAATTGAAAATAACAATAGATTCTTGATAATAATAATTCCTTCATATTAAGAATAGAATTGTAAAGTAAAATGCATATTTGTTCCATTAATGCACAGTACATTATGCTTTAATAAAGCACTGCTTAAAGCAGGAACCCACTTGTGACTTGGAATGTATGAGCCACAAAGCCCAGGACATTTAGCTTTTACTCTATATTCATTTATTATTTTGATCATGACCTTGACATGTTTTTATAAGGAAATTGTGAAAGTAGAAGATTGAATAGAAGGCCTAATGGGAATAAGAATGTTACATTCATCAGATATTAGAAAACCTGATGGGAATTAAGCATGCTTTTAGCAACATATCTCTGCTGATATAGATGCATATTATAACACTTTTGAGATTAACAAACATTACGTAAATGTTCTTGCAAGTTCCAACCCTGACTAAAAATATTTTCATTTTCTTATTACTGAGGGCCTAGGCAAAAATGTCTATATGAAATTAAAGCAAAGTTGATCTTTTTTTTTTGAGATTTCCCTATGTAGATAGCACAGAAATAATAATTATTTTACACATGTATCTTACGGGCAATCAATGGTGACAGCTACCTGTCACAAATGACACTGAAAATGGGCCATCACTATGTTTTATACTGCAATTTTATCCATTGCCAATGGTTATTAACTAAAATCATGAAAAATGAGAAGATTTGGTTTATCATTACTTGAAAGTAAGATAAATAATCACTGATGCATCATGAGTCTGTGTTTTACAGTTCATACTTTTTCATATGAACATTCTGCTTATATCAAACAATGCCTAAGTAAATGCTAAGTAAATTATTTTATTATAATGTGGCCAAGTGCACATCATTTTGCCAAACATAGACATGCAAATGTGAGTTTTTCTATTTTTATTATATTTTTTGACATCTTATTCTTTAATATTTTCTTTTATGTTGCTTTGTGTGATTTCAGTCATGAAACATCATCTTACAGCAACAACATTCTTACTGTACTTAACTGTTTGGATAAAAATGTCTAAGTTAATTCATTGTTATATGCAAATCCTTTGGCCAATAATTTTGAAAAAGATGGTGCCCTCTTTTTCAATTCCAAAGAATTCAGACATTTCTGCATCTTAATATTCAATAACTTTTGATCAAATAAATCAATTGTGTTTGATAATCTAATCTTATGATTATAAGGCAAACATTAGCATAATTTCTTTAAATACTTTACTCTAAATATTCCATGCTGCTACTTTGAACACTAATAACTGTTACGTGCCTGAGAAATGACTTGAGCAATATCTGAAAATAATGAACCGGAATTATGACTTCTTGTTAATTATAACTTCAGACTGAGTTTTCTCACAAACTTGCGATGCGTTGTCGTGTTGTTATAATCATTACATCAAACCGGATTTAAAGGGGAAAGGTAATTAGCAGTTGTTAATGAGAAAATAAAGATTTGTTATATGGTATCACATCTTATTAACCGACACATGTGTATGCTTTATTATATGTATTTTCACTCTTTTAATGACTTTCTGAGATGTAATAACTTAATATATGCATACATCTCCAATTAAAAGCACAAAGTGATAACCAATTGGATGAGCACACTGATCATGAAAAACAAAAAATCAAAGGAATAAATGAACAAAGTGAAAAACATGCAACGTGTCATGTAATTATAAAAGAAGGAATAAGAAATAGGGAACTATGTAAACATTTGTTCCGGATGAGAGAAAAAACTAATTTTGCGTGAACCATATTAAGTGAAGAAATCTTATTGTGGCTGATAACTATCTTTGATCAGTATTCCCATTCAGGTCGGAATAACCCTGTTAATTAACTGAATAATTCCCGGCATAATCCTATCATAACAACCTTATCGCAGGAACTTTTCTCACAATGTTAAGGATTATTTCTTGATTGTTATTTTCATTGCTTGCATGCTGTTTGTTTGTCATTAGCCTTGCTTGGATTTGTATTGTTTGTTTTGATTATTAATGCAAACATGCTATAACTTATGCAAAAGAATTATGTTTTTACAAAGAAAAAAAAAAACTTTTTTATATGGAAATTCACTCACTAACTTGAAGAAAGACAAATCATGAAACAATTGTACATGTACATGTATATCACAACCATCGTTATGAGCCTTTTTGCACGTTACCTTTGTAACGATCCCTTCATTATTGGCCTTATATGGTCACCTTCTCATTATAGAATTTCCCAGAATCATTAATTCTTTATTTTATGATAAGAAAATAGAGTACATAATATAAATAAATTTTCTTCATTTGCATAGGATTTGCAGACACTGAGCTCTGTCAACAAAAAATCATTGGATTTTCCGCAAATCTTATTATAGTGTATCCTGCTTGATCTATAAGAATTGCAATTATAACGAAGTAAAAGAGGTATTAACGCAATATTGCAGCAGAAATAGCTCTGCTCTGAAGACGATGCAATCTAATAAGTCACGTCACCTTAAACTGACCTCTGCATCGTAACTGTTAACACCTGTTAACGAGATACAAATCCCAAGTGTCTAATAAGAAAAAATATCCTGTATTGTAAGTTATTACTAGTCTATCCAATTTGATACAAAAATCCAATTTTCAGGGTAATTGTGCCAAGTTTGTATGACGAAAAACGTATTCTTTGATTGTCACAAACTGATGATGCAAACCAGCGAGTAATTATTGAGCATGGGTATCTTCCTGGTGAGATATTGTTCTCTTAGTCAGCTACATAACAGCGCCCTCCACAGGAACATCACAAACAATCTTTATCGTAATGAATTTAGTTTCTTGATTTAATGGACTTCAACCCCATGTAATATTCCTTAATTGGTTAACGAAGAATTAAACGCAGAGATATATTAATTCAGAATCTTATGACGATCAAAAGAAATCTATTATATTTATCATGGATTGTTTTTAGTTTTCATGAAAAACATCCCTGTACGGAACGTTTTGAGGAAATCCAAGGGGATCAAGTGGCATTTCAAAAGTAAATCCCAAAGAGACGCCGAGTTGTGCAAATTTAATTACACCGGATGAAAAGGTAAAAAGTCGTGAAAATAAAGTCCACAGGAAGAGCTCATATTCAATCTCTCTTGACGATCAATAGTTAAATGATCTCTTTTTTGGATTATCTACAAGTGTTCTGTATTGCCATAATGACTACACTACAATATGGATGGCGCATGTTTGACCATGTACTTTTCTAGAGACCTTGCCTTCATTTATTTTCATTAATTCTTTTTATTACTTTTCAATATTATTCTTTTTTAATGAGCAATTATAATAATAATTAACTTGTCAATCGCCAATAAGGGGATTTTTTAGGATTAAAATCTAAAGACAATTATTTGATCTAGCCAATATTCAAGTAGTTTGTTTAGTCCAAAAACAATGACCCTACATTTTCCGTTTATAATGAATATTTCAAATTCAGAACTCCCATAAAAGGCCTTGAAATCTACATGTACATTTGAGATAACAACAAATCAGATCTTATGTATATTTTCTTCACTCTGCAAATATTATTCTCATCCAAGTGGCTGATAGTGCTAAAGCAAGGTCGCTACAAGTGTTTATGTTTTTATATGTAATGTGAAATAAATTCTACAAATAAAAAATAACTAGAAAAACAGCAACTCCACGGAGTAGCAAATCCCACCGAACAAAACATGTTTTGATAAAAAAATTGAGCCAAATTCATCCACTGGTATTTGAATTATCAAAGATTATGTCTTTATGAAACATGGTTGCCATTTTGAAATTCAGCTGTCATCTTTAGATTTCTTCTTTAGCAGAGAATGTCCTTCCAATGGTATCTGGGTTATCAAAGATTACTTTTTTAATGAAAAATGGCAGCCATTTTGAAATTTCTTCTGAAGCAGATCTCATTTTTCCCTAAACATCAGCATATAAAATTGGAACCAAATCCATCCACTAGTATTTGAGTTATCATTACTTACGTTTTTTTAAGAAAAATGGCGGCCATTTTGAAATTCAGTGGCCATCTTGAAAATTTATTTTTGAGCAGAACTTCTTTGTCTCTAAGCATCAGCATATAGAATTTTAACAAAATCCGTCAACTAGTATTTGAGTTATCAAAGGTTACGTTCTTTTATGAAAAATGGCGGCCATTTTGAAATTTAGCTACCACCTTGAAAATCCCTTCTCGAGTAGAGCTCATATGTCCCTTGACATCATCATGTAAAATTTGAACCAAATCCATTCAATGGTAATTGAGCTATCAAAGATAATGTTCTTTTATGAAAAATGGCCGCCATTTTGAAATTTAGCTGCCATCTTGAAAATCCTTTCTTGAGCAGAGCTCCTATGTCCCTAGGCATCCGCATCTAAAATTTAAACCAAATCCATTCAATGGTATTTGAGTTATCAAAGATAACGGTTTTTTTACGAAAAATGGCCGCCATTTTGAAATTTAGCTGCCATCTTGAAAATCCTTTCTCGAGCAAAGCTCCTATGTCCCTAGGCATCAGCATCTAAAATTTGAACCAAATCCATTCAATGGTCTTTGAGTTATCAAAGATAACGTTTTTTTTACGAAAAATGGCCGCCATTTTGAAATTTGGTGACCATCTTGAAAATGTCTTCTTGAGCAAGGCTGCTTTGTACCAAGGCAACAGCCTATAAAATTTGAACCAAATCCATCCACTAGTATTTGAGTTATTAAAGATTATATTTTTTCCGAAAAATGGCCGTCATTTTGAATTAAGCGGCCATATTGAAAATTCCTTCTCGAGCAGAGGTCCTACACCCGTAAGGCATAAGCCTATAAGATTTGAATGAAATCCGTCAACCGGTATTTGAGTTATAGCTTGGACACACGAATGGACGGACGGACGAACGGACGGACGGACGAACGGACGGACGAACAGACGGACGGACGGCTTTTCTATATCCCCCTCGAACTTCGTTCGGTGGGATAATAAAAATCAGATCTGTTAACTTCTCTGTATCAGTCAGAGGGGAGTACTGTATGGCCGGATCAGGGTTAGTATATTTACCTTAATATGATGCAGTGTTGAGGGATTTATGTTGATGATTTTATAGAATAAAACTGCATAACCCAACTGGCAAAACATCAACAAATAGCTTTATTTGCTATTACATTGTATTCTATAGACATTACTCCCTTCAGTGAATATGCTTGGCTTAAAATTCAATTAAAATTCAATTAATCAAACATACTTCACATTCTTTTTCATAGATACTATGATTTTATAGAATCAGCTTTTTTCTGGTTTTTGATTTCTGCATTTTTCATCAAAGGATTAATCGATCAAGAGATATCACTCATTTTAATGAACCTTATGAAATTGTTGGTCTGATGAGAATTTACATAAACGTTCATTCCCACATGATGACAGTTTCGGATCATTGATCAACAACAGTTTATATTCTGAACTTCTGATTTTATTTATTCTTGGAATCATTTCAGAAGCTAATATTAAATTCTGAAGTTTTGTTCTCTTGCTAAAGGCCCAGCCAAGGGGTTCAGGCAAACCCCCTTGGCCAAAATCTTTTTCAAAATTGTGCAGTTTTTCATGATTCTGAGCACTTTTTAAGTGATTTTGGGCTGGCTACGGTACGGGTCTGTACTATGACATCATAATATCATCGTTGTGTACAACAACTGATTTAAGAAATGTAAATTCGTGACAGTTTCTATAGTAATGAAACCTGCAGAACAGGTCAAATCCATAACAGCTAGGACTCATCTAAAAATATGCTGTCTGATCTATTGACTTAAAGACAAAGGTGCAGGTGTATAATCTTTCAAATAATAAATGAATTCAACTATAAACATTAAACTCTGAAGAAATAAAAATTGAAATATACTTTGTTGTTATGACATCACAATGCAGAAAAATACTTATTAGAAAATTCATATTTCTATCTAAAGATGGATGCATTTTTGGCATATAAAAAAGTTAAAATCTTTTGATCAGACAAAAACACATGAGAATTGTATAAAAGTCAATAGACTAATGTAACTTAAATGTTTACATTTCTACCCAGCAAGCAAATGACTTTTTTCTGATATATCATAATGCAATTAGGTTTCATCATAATTGCATTTTTCTTTCTCATGAACAACTCTGTCGCTTACTATAAAGTTCATCGTAACCTTGCGACTAGGGTTTCAATAATTTCCTTGAGATGCATCATCATAATTATCATTAGGCAGAATAATCAAGACAAATAACATATCAACAGACCCTCCCATATAATTTATAGAAAACAAGGAGATGTAAAAGTATTCATTATTCTCACACTGGGGCCATTTTAAATTTTTAGCATCCCTATGAAATTAATGTTGTACAAGAATTTCATACTTCATATGCCACATGGAAAATTTTTATTTTATTTCAATTTTCTGTAGAGTGGAATGATATCATGTGACCTTCATCAGTTAGTAGCAATGGCACATTGGAGATGTTGCTAATAAGTGAAAGTATAATGATGTTTATGCATATAGCTTTACATTATTACATTATACAAGTTTGAGAGAAGTGAAATTTTGTGTTTGGCGAAAAGACGTTCTTATGCAATACATATAGAAATCTCACTATTAAAAGCATTCTTTAAACTGATAGAATACAGTCATCATCGTCCAATTAATTCGATAAATTAGAGATCCAAATTGCCATTGATTGTTTGCAGCATTATTGTACTTATATAACTATTGCACTTATATTACATGTATTATCAAATGGAGGTTATAATGACCTATAAAATGTATTCTAAAACTGTTTTATCTCAGCATAACCTGTGACATATCATCACTATACATCAACTATATTTTAGAAAAAATCATGATATGGAAATAATAGATTTGTGCACTATTGGGAAGAAATTAATTTTCTTAAAAATACAAATAATACCTCTGAATTTCTTCTTTTAACTTTGAAGTATCTTAATAACAAAGAGAATAACCTACTCCATACATCATTTATATGTAACAATCCCTTCTATTTGATGTCTAATAATGCTCATAGTTAAAGCTGTTGAAAATGGCGCCAGCATATCAAACTCTAATAAAATAAAAATATAAAAAATACAAGAACGAAATGACCCAGAATGATATACAACACTGATATATTTCAATACAGAATAAAGTAATTTATTGTTTAATACCAACAATAACTTTAATTCATCATATTGTATATCAATACAGACAAAAGTATTTTTAAGTAAATTAGATTGATGACGATGATGTATAATATATCAAATGTGTTGAGTAACTAAATACACTTTGTATTTGCCAATAGCAGGTCACAGGATACACGATTTTCTATTTTTATTTGAGCAATGATATTTATCTCATGATACAATACAAATGATATGACCAATTTTAGCGTGAAATATGCAATTATTTTTTATGTCACATACTGGCTTTGAAATAAGCAAAATGACATGAAAAGAACATTAAGTGAAAATGTCAGAAATTATAAAATAATTAAGCAAAGGTAAGTTTACCAGATTAAGCCATGGGAAAAATATGTCGCAGCCAAAGCAATCAAACAAGACTCCTATTGCAACTTACAATGTACTTGAAGACTTAAAGAATATTTTTGGCTCATATCATTCCTTGTCATGTCTTTTTTCTAAAAATCCCACACTTTGTCCACACTTTGGTTCAGGAAAACTATGGATCTGATTACGCCTTTAAATGTTGGAGTGACATTTCAAAATCTTGCACGTAAGGAAGAAAAACCAGAAAAATGAAGAAATGCTACTTTTTAAGAGCTGATTTCAAACTAAAACAGGCTTGATTTATCAATAAATATCATCAAGAATGAGAGTCAGATCAAATATTGATTTAATTCTTAATTCCACCTTGATTAAGAATCAACCATACCTGATTTAGAGTTGTACAATAATGATGAAGGGTTGAATTCAGACTTGAAAAAAAGATAAATTCAACCCTGTTTGTTGAACTCAGCCTCGTTTCAGATGTTGATCTTTTCTCTTGAGTTAAGACTATTGATTTGAAATGAAGAGAAGTAATCTTGATAGTGTACCTAAAGTGTCTGGTGCAGTAGGCGCCAAGTGTCCCCATCTTAGTGAGCTCTCAAGCACTTCTAGGTAGTCTGTCCTATTACTATATCTTGTTATGTCTTCTATAGGCTGGCCTGAATGACCAAGAAACCTGAAACATCACAAAGTGCTCAATTCATTGAGGAAATCCAACATGTGAAAAGGTCTCTGAAAATGAACACTTTAATACATAGCATATCCATTATCCAAGTGGGTGGGGCTCAAGGGGTTTACACGAGCCCTTCCTCATGTAATTTAGTTGGGTTGGCAAAGAGATAGGTACACAGTGGTACAATATATGTCCTACTTCACAATTTCAAAATTGCAAATACTGGGCCCCACCTAGAAAATGTGAGTCTTGTTGATGAAAAAGCCAGGGCATGTTATATCAAGCAGACAGTGAGGATCAAAGACACAGTTTTAGAGCTGAAGCTATGGATTAGTATTTGTGACATCATATCCATATGAACTTAATCAATGCAAAATCTATCGATGCGATTTTTGCTCATTTTGGTGCTATGGGGCAAAAACCTAAAATGCTTAAATTGAATTAATGAAACAACAAAGCATAACATTCAAAATGTCACCACCTGCCATTTGTTACAGATGCTGAACCTTGAACGCTGACTGCTGAACACCAACCACTGAACGCTGTCCAATTTGTCACCACTTTTTATTCATCAGTTTGTTTTAAAATTTCAATTTTCAATTTAAATCAGAAGTAATTTACACCTTATCACATTCCATATTGTTAAAGGTGCTGATCCTCTCATTGATGTCAATCACGTTGTGTTCATTTCATGACATTGGCTTTCCAAGGGGCCTATTATAACAATGACTTTGAGGGTGATAATAACTCTACATTAAAGTGTTACAAAATCCAGGGTACAGATCCTATTATTATCATTTCTGCTCGCTCGCTTAACAAATGAACCCAGAAACAACTTGACTTCAAAGAAAGCCTCTTTTCCCTGACAAAATATACACCATCGTCGGTACCCTCACTGAATAACTATTCTCAATGGATAGGTCGAAAGATTGATAAAGCAAGATGATAAACGTTGTTTTGGACAAGAGTCAAATTTTATCTTTTACAAGCATCTCATAAATTCTAAATTCTTTTTCTATCCTATTAGTCATTTAAAATTTGAGACTTTAACAAAAGGTTGCAATAATCAGTGGATTGTATTGTAATGCTACTTTGATAATGAAATCTCAATGATAGAAGATAATTCATAAAATAAAACAGAAATAAAATCTATTAGAATGATTAGTTTATATTCGAAAATGGCCAAGATGATACAAATCAATGGGTATAACTTGACTCTTGTCAATTACATTAGCTTTTACAGAAAATAGTTTATTTTGAAATACAAAAAAAATCAATAATAAAAAAAGATTAATAAAAAAATTCAGTTATTTCACCCATTGATCAAGGCACAGGTTGAACAATATTGAACTTCAAAATCAAATATGATTAATTAATCTTTGGGAAGAAAAGATCAAAACAAAAATAAACAAAAACAAGGTGATAACATGCAAAATGTCACCACCTGCCATTTGTTATAGATGCCTAACACTGACCACGGGACATAGCCCACAAAAAAAGAGACTATAACAAAATGTCACCACTTGTGGCAGTGACATAAAAAGGCTGATTTATTTGGGGGAACAAACTATCACTTGTAATAATTTAGTAAGCATTTTTATCCCAGATTAAAGTGAGATTCAATTTTTATAAAAGTACAATTTTTCCTGAAGAGGATGAAACTAAGTATCCACTGGTGCTCAGTGAATTCAAGTATAAGCTCATTTGTATTATATAAATTCTCTGCATAAGCTCACCTAATGCCATCTATACTGCAATCATATGGGTTTGTGACAGCATGCATTGTGGGATACATGGTGGCTTGCGGGAACATACATCGATGCAAAGCCTGCTGGGGCATGGTGCTGTTTGATGGATCATGTTTTCCTGGCATTACATCTACCTCCATACAGGCCTAGAAAACGTGATGAAAGATTGGTAGATATCATGATTACAATTTGTACACTCCTCTCCAAGAGTTTGACAAACATGGCTTCCCTATGGACACTGTGTTCTACAATTTCATGTTTTATTTAAAACTGCCAAACATAGACAGACATGTGGTCCAATAGAAGATTTGGTACTTCCAGATTTTTGGAGTGGGGTGTACAATACAGGTACATATTGTACATACTGGAATACATGTAGCATTACATGCATAATATACAATAATATTTGGGAAAGACATCTCAATAGCATAATTGGTTTCAAGTTGAGATCCTGACTTATTATCACAGAAATAATTACATCACAGGAAATTAATAAAATAACATTGTTAATGCTATCAAACCTTCCTAATCATTTTACAACTGATATACGTACGTATACACGTATATAGTGAGCAATGCCCTGTTTCAATTTTGTACAATTTCTCATGGGCTACTTCGAAATGTTTTAACAGTAAAGATACGTAGTTAGTGATCTCCCAAGGATTTTTTCTCAGGTGGGTGCAAAATTTTCATTTTCACAATTCAGACCAAAATTGGTCAAGATATGCCAATTTTTCACAATTTTTTTTCACTTTCAAGTGGGTGCAAATGGATTTTCAGATGAGCAAGGCTATTATCAAAATCTCAGGTGGGTGCTGCGCCAACTTGCTAAAAAAAGCTGGGGATATCACCGATAGTCTTGCATGAAGTCTCTGCAGCTACTTTACTTCCAGGTAAGGATGTATGGGGGGGGGGGGGTGTCACACAACAGGCTTAAAGCAACACGACTACAGCAACAAAATATGAAGACACTTAAAGGTATATTTGTGCTTAAAGCCACGAATGAAAGAAAGCCTCTTAGAGATATCATAAGAAATCTTACCGCAAGTTGTACTAGAAGATCATCAAGGGATTTAATCGCCTCAACACTTCCGGCAGCTGAGTGCGTCGTCAGATACTTGGCCTGATAAGAATAGAAACACGTCAAATATTAAAATGTAAATGGCTATATGTTGCTGATTAACTAATACCTTATAGGATTTTAACACTAGACTCTATAAGAGACTTAACCTGTTCAGACTAATGATGACAAAAATACATATCTTGAAAAAAGGATGTATTCCATGACATATTAAGTGATATTTTTAACAAAGAACATCATGCAACATAGTCACTATTGCTACAGAATTTGCTTGGATGTCACGACAATGAAGCTTTATTGCTATACATATCCATGTATTTTCTACAAAACATGTTACGAATGAAGTATCATTATATTAATCTGGGGGCCCTTAACAGAAACTTTGTAAAGTTAAGAATTTGTAAAATCCATTGTTCTCTAACTGTGACGTCATTAAATTCGTAACTTTTACAAAAAGTTTCTGTTAATGACCCCCTGAAGATGTTTATGTTTTTTACTCAGTTTTAAGATGAAATGTGAAAACGTGGCATACTAATGCATCATGTAATAACTCTTAAAGGCATTCACATTACAAAATGTCACCACCTTGTTGTTCAAATCTCAAATCTAAAGTCAGATTTGAACTTCTGAGAACTTGTAGATGATTTTGAAAAAAGGTCAATTTGAAGCAAGTTGAAAAAAATACCTTTTTGACCTTTAGAAGGTCATTGAAGGTTAATTAAGTTATTGGAAGATGTAAGAATTTGTTACAGACGCCAACTGGCACCCACCAACCACCGACCACCAACTGCCGTCACGAATAAAACAGAGACCAAACAATATGTCACCACTTTTTGGTGGTGACATAAAAACCCTAATTCTTGATTCATTTGTTATTAATGTTTATTGATATCAAGCTCCTTCAACTCGATGGAGCAGATTTACCAAAGCTTATAAGAATGGACGATCTTGCACAGATTCTCATAAAATAACCTTTATATTAGGTGGAGACATTAGTCTAGTATTGTAAAATCTGTTTCATTAGTGAATTCTGGTGTGACAAGTTAAACGTGTTTCATTCATGAATTCTCATAGGTTAAGATTTCATACATATACGTATCGTTGAAAAAAGGGTTCACAAATGGAGGTGTTCACCTGCGAGAGTTGGTTTCAATTTAACATTTAAGGCAAGTTTGTCTTGACATTTCATATAATGTGTCAACCTCGTAATATAGTATAGTGCAGACAGTAGGAGTCGTCATGAGCTGCTACTTCTGCCTTATCAATTGCTACGATAAAGTACACGACCATTGAAAACTCATTTCCTGTTGCTATCACTCAATTGCCACCGAGTGCATGATTCTCAAATATACTCCCTATATATCGCAACATGATTTTACTCAAACAACAAAGGTTATGGTAACGAAATGTTACCATCTGATTAATTTAAGCAGGAATAAAGCTAGAGGGGGCAAAACTAATCCATTGATATTTCATTTTTATGAGGTAATTGTTAGATTGTTGAATGAGTTCAAGTTGCCAAGGATATTGCCTAAAATGTGAACACTTTCATTCCATGTTTATAGGTGTTAACAAGTCAATCTGTCCATTAGTTCTGCACTTATTGCTCATAATATCTAGGGTTATTGCTATATTACGAAAGTGACTCATGTTACGGACACTGAAGACAATGCTAACTGCCAGACATACAGGAAGCCGCAGAGCCAGGATTTGCCAAGGGGGTTCACTTTCTAGTAAATTCCAGAGGGAATTCAAATTTGACAATTTTGGCCCAAAAATGGCCAAAATGTTGAAAAACTGCATGCTTTTGAAAGATTTTTTCATCATCTTTGTTAGTGGCGACATAGAGAGATAATACAATGTATGTGGTACCTGCCTACTCACCCAGACACACCCATACACACTAGCACAAGATGACATCAATATAGTGCTATAACGTTAAATGTGACGAAAACAATGCATTACAAGATGACAAAATATAACCACCTGATATGTTATTGTAAATGATTACTACCAAATGCCAACATGAAACCCAGGTCACAATGAGCCAAAAATGGTAGGTATAACAGTGTGACACCACATCCTGTTGACAAAATGACTGTCAATATAAAATATCTTATGTACTCGAGAATGAAAACTTAGTGATTTTAAATATCAGTTTACGCATCTCTGTTAAGCATGATGCTAAAGATCAGATTTTATGTTTGTGGCTAAACCTGATTAAAGTAATAATTGAAATATCATGAAGTTCATCTCATCTCTCCTTGAAAATGATGAAAGCCATTTCATGTTGAAGTCCAATTAACAAGCATGCTTTTATGCTTAATGAAATCAATTTATGGAATACTTAAAACTTTTTTAAAGTGATTTGTAATGTTATATTAATGCCTACTGCCTGCAGATGTTGGGAATGTACTTTTACAATGAATTAAATGAAATAAATATTGATTTTCAAATCATAAAGGAAAACAACTTCACAAATTAAATTCCAACACACTGTTACTGTAAATGTCTGTGTATTTATTCAGTTGGATGGAATATGCCTTTGGCGTACTCTGAATCTACTGGTTAAATAACCCTCCTCTCTGCATAATACATATGATTTTAAAATTTCAATATGGACACAATCTTAATGAGCTCATTGAAGATTTAACATCTTTTTATGGGAGTTAGAATCTGAACTGAATGTCCGCCATATACAAGCAGGAAATATGTCGTCGTGATTTTCTGACAACATTTCTGATTGCATCAAATAGCTACCTTGAAACTTAAAGAGTACAGATAGGTGGAAAGAATTGTGCTCTTGAGAAAGGTTATAGACTTGCACTTAGACTGTCTATTGGGACTAAAGGGGAAGATGTGGGTTGAGATGAATTGTGTAAGTTCTGTAAAGATCATGATGAAAGGTTATGTTAAGTGTCTCACTACTTCTCTCCGATGTGGGGTGTATCATAATGTCATCAATTCAAGTAAAAAGCAGATCAACTAAAAACATTTTTAGGACCCTCAGGATTGTACAAATCCACTTTAGCTTACAAAGTCTTTGCTGTAGCTCTGAAAACTGTTTGAAATTTCATTGAACACACCAACTACGTTAGGGGGAGGGGGTGGTAAAGAGCCAAGTTTTATTATAGAAAAACATAAACACTGACTTCAATATTCAATAATGTTCAATTCAACAAGACACACAGCGATAATTATTCCATGTTTATAAAAGCAAAATAGTAGTCATGTGATTTACCCAGCATGCCCAAACTTAATAAGATGTTGCCACCTAAGTTTGCATTTCTAAAAATTTAAAGATAAATTGGCTGTACTGTAATGTTTTATTCTGAAATTTTGATGGGAAAATTTATATGGTGCCCCCTGTATTCTGCAAAGCAGCACAAGAGGCTGACGACAATAAAGCGCTTTTTAAAGTACAATTAAAAATAGGGAGATTTCCATTTTCATTACGTCATATCAGACTCATAACTGGATACTCATCACAACTTTTTGTTTGTGAAAACTCTCCTAGAAAGGTATTGATAGATATTTCTTTAATTGGCATGATTGTATCAAAACATGATACAGAGACTAGGCTGTCAGAAGTCTGGAATCTCTCACGATCTGTATGTCAGGATGCAATATGGCTAGCCAATAGGGATTCATGTTATTATGTCGATATCCTCATAATCAAAGTGAAATGTCGGGGGAGGTCATATTCTAAAGTGGAAGATGATATTACAATTATAACAATCTCTATATAAAAGCTTTGTTATCAGTCCAAGGTCATAACACACAGGAATCAGATGAAATAACAATGAAAAAATTCAATCAAATTGTGAATCTGTCATTCCAGTTCATGAGAATATAACAGTAAAACAACAATATGTTTAATATTGACAGGCTAGAACCACAAATGCCATGTTTCCAATGGTTCATTGAGATAAACAACTTCAACAATGACGTCAGTTTAGCTTTACATTAACGTAAAAACAATGAAAATCACTCAATTAAAAGTGACATGTGACATACATCGATTCCCCAGAGTAGCAAGTCACACCAAACAAAACATATTTTATCACTGATCATTTTGAACATGATAGAAATAAGGCAGTAGTAATTTCTCATTTTGGCAAAATCTACATCCATGATGAAATGTGACATACCCTTTGCATTCGTTCGACTTTACTTTTTAAAAAAGAGCTCCGTCTTCACTCTTTCAATTTACAAGATCTCACCGAGCTAATCAGAAATCGTTGTCGAAATATGGACGACTTGGTCATTTCCTCTGACATCCAACATAGTTAATGAGCATGTATTTAGCACATGTTCCTTCCACTTCACTGATTGGTTGAGAAAGGGTCAGCGTGGTAGATTTGAAATGATTTATTACCCAGGCTGTCACAGGCACCAATTTTCGGGGCGGGGCTGCTAAACTGTAATATAGTCTCTACTAGGCAGAGGGTAGTTTATAACTAGACTCTGGGCGCAGGGTAACCATGACACCATATTAGTTGTTGACTAGAGGTCTTATGTCCATATGACATTATCTTATAAAAAGGACAAAAACAAATGACTAGTACATTTACTTGTACATCGTCAGAAATTATATTTCTCCTGCAGAATATTGCTGTGAAAATTATATTTTACAATTCCTTTAAGACAACAGCTTATAAATTTGGACCAAATCTGATAATTGGTATTTAAGTGATCATGGAAATGGTGACTGACAGAAAGTGTGACAGAAATCATAAAAACAAGACACACAGTGATAAATATCGCACTTTGAAGAGCAAACTGGCCACCATGCAATTTACCCAGCATGGCCAAAACCTAATCAGACCTTGGCACTAGTCTGCTCTTGCATCTGTAAACATTTCAAGTTGACAAGGTTAGCGGTTTTCCTGCAATTTTGATGACAATTGATTTGTAGTCTCAAACTTTGAGAAACTTGGATAACATCATTTGTAACCTAGTTTAATGACCTTGACCTTCGACCTTGAAAATTTCACTTTTTCAGACCTCAGTAGGTCTTTTGTAATTAAGCTGACCTAAAT